GATGACTAAACCCTAAGTTTATGAACTGTTGCACAAGGGGTTGTTGGAACCCCAACGTTTAATGCTATGATTAGAAGGTATAATCATAAGTATATTGTTTGTTCAAGAAAGAACGTCACATTATTATAGGTTCCATCACACAATAAATTATCAGGGCAATGAATCTTAACTCAATGAAACTAGATGAAACTCCCGTGTGTCCTCGAGAGCCATTTGATTTCTATAAGTAAGACAACGGATTTGTACTTAGCACAACTAAGGATTGAGCCTCTTGAATCACCTTTTTATTTTTATTAGAATTCATGTCCTTGCCATTATTTTTGTGATCAAACAAACTATCAAACAATCGTTGTAGCTTTTACATTGAACGCTTGCTGGAATATATTAACGAATTCCTTCTGCTCCTCGTTGGGTTTACCACTCTTACTTATTGAAAAATGGTACAATAGACCCCCTACACTCGTGGCTTATCAACCCCCTGTAACAGTGCTCACCTCCGGAGAAGAAACAATAAAACCGGATAAAAAAGAAAAAGAAAAAAACCTAAGAAAACCATTGAAGAAACAGAGAAAACCATAAGAAAAAGAAAAAGATGTAAAAGAAAAATAATATACGAAGTAAACGAAGCGTGTGAGTGAACGGACGCACAGAAGGGGCCAGCCCAGTACTGTAGCACACAGGAAAAGCTTCAGGCGAGACCGTACGTACTCTTGCTATAAGCGAGATATATTTCCAAATCCCGGCCTGTGCAGGCGATACACCTGGCCCAATGTGAGGGCACGGGCGCCTGTTTTTTTCCTTTTCTTTATTTTTCTTTTGCTTATTTTGAAGACGTTCAAGATTTAAAAAAATGAATTTAAAAAAAGTCCACAGAAAATTGATTAGATTTAGAATTTGAAAATGTTCTTGGAGTCTTTAAAAAAACGAATTTCAGAAAATGTCCACAATTTTGAAAAGTTACTTAGATTTACAAAATGATCATGATTTAGAAAATGTCCTTGGATTTAGAAAACTGATCGGAAATTCAAAAATATACCAAAATTTAGATAATGTTCATCAATTTACAAAATATTACTGAATTTCAATGAAAAATTAAAAAATTTCTAATTTTTTGTACGAATTTTAAAAAGTTACCACATTTTTAAAATGTTCTAAATATTTAAAATATTATGTTGACCAAAAAATAAAAAATAAGAAGAATAAATAAAGAAAAACAAGAAAAATGATAAATAAAAGTAAAAAATAAAAATGGAAATATAATGAAGCAAAAAAAAAATGAAGGCCCTTGAAAACACCTAACGAAAACCAACACAAAGAAACATAGAGAAAAGAAAAAATAGGTTTAGGCCATCCCGAAAGTACCTACATCAGCGACCAAGGTGCGTGTTGGATCACTATTCCCCAATACGCGGCTAATAGGATCTGTCGTTGCTGGGCGAGAGGCCCGCCATGCGTCTCATGTTGAAGATATTGTGTGTTGATGTCGAACTTCCCGCTCTGAAGCGTGCCATGTTCTTTGTTGGAAGAGCTCTCGCGGACGACCTATATTGAATGGGAACCAGTTGACCTATATTGAATGGGAAGGCAGGTAGCCATCGCGTCATTGGTTTGGGTTACTTGACCTTATTAGATTGTTATTAGAGTGCGTTGTCTCATGCTACTGAAATTTGTGTCTGTGGATTATTACTGCCATGGTTGGTGTATCATTGTCACTGTTCCATTGCCCTTTCCTATTATCTTGTGCTTTCTATAACTTATTGTGGCGCTTATGTTTTCTATGTGAGTCTACTTGTATTTGCAAGCAGCACGTGCATTGGGGATACTGGTTGTATATAGTTGTGTAAATTGGAATCATTAATTTGAGTTTCTTGTTGTTGCATATTCTGTTCATGCTGGATAAAGAAGTCGAGCTGTATTTTTTTTTCTCTTCGTGGATTGTGGCTCAAGTAGAGTTGGATGGGTGTCTGGGTTAGTAATAGTTACTTTCAGTTCATCAGGTTTATCTATTTTATCTAAACCAAACTTTTTTAATTTTACACTTTAGCTACATGTAAGTCGCCTGAAAAATGAATTTGGGTCAGTCAATTTTTGAGCCATTGATTCTGCATCAGGATTCATGCTACTTGTTTTTTCTCTGTTGTGTATGCTGTCTTGTTTTGGGCTGATATTTTCAACTGACCACCGTATTGGGCCAATCGAATCCTAATTGGGCTGAAGTGCATTTCCTGTTTTTATGGGCCCATGAGGCTCCCTTTTTTCTGTTTGTATGCGTTTTTTGGTTTTTTCTTTTTCTTAGTTGGTTACTATGGGTATTTTTGAGATGTTGGGTGAGTATAAAATGTGTACACACGAATACTATATAACATAGTACAAACTATATTATAGTGTAAATTAAACCACTGTACTTTTTATTTCTTGCATAGTAAATATGTGCAAAGTTGTGTGCCAATTTTAAGCTTATTTTTTATTTTTCTTTATTCTTAAATGAAAAACTTCATTATTTTTTATTATGTTATAGTTTTATTTCATTTCATTTTTCTTTGATTTTGATACTACTGTCACTATATCATTCCTTCTTAAGAAACATCTTTTTTTTTCTTGGAATACCGCCATGCTTTGCTCATTCTTGCATATTATAGAAAAGCATCATTTTCATGTCAATTTTTTGAATTTTTTAAATTGTTTGCTTCTTTCATTCTCTGTCTTCTTAAAGGGTAATAACAATGCCATTAATTCATTCTTCCTTTGGAAACTTTATTTTTGTTTTCGTTTATTTTTAGTTTCATATTCTTTCTTTTTTATAGATAATACTAATGCCACTAAATTCATTCTTAATAGGAAAATTTACTTTTGGAAATTCCACTATTATATGCTTATTCTTGCATATTATAAAAAATTGCAATTTCTGTGTAAATTGTGTGTAAATTTTGATATTTATATTTTTTCTTGTGAAAGGGCAATACCAATGCCACAAATTCATTCCTTCTTTGAAAACTTCATTATTTTGTTTTTGTTTCATTTTTCTGTTCTTTAAGGGTAATGCCAATGCCAATAAGTTATTTCTTTCTGTGTTATGCTTATTCTTTCATATTGTAAAAAAGCGCAATTTCTATGTAAGTTGTGTGCAAATTTAGTCTCTTTTAATTTTTTTCTTTCTTCTGGAGGAAAAATACTGATGCCACAAATTCACTCTTCCTTAGAAAACTTCATTTCTTGTTATTTTATTTTATTTTGTGTTTCATTTTCTTTCTTCTCTATAGATTTCTTTCTTCTCTATAGATAATACTAATGCCATTAAATTCACTCCTTCTTAGGAAAATTCATTTTTTTTGAAGTTCCACTATTTTATACTTATTCTTGCATATTATAAAAAGTGCAATTTGTGTGTAAATTATAACATTTTTTGTTTTTTCTTGTGAAAGGGTAATACCAATGCCACAAATTCATTCCTGCTTTGAAAACTCCATTATTTTGTTTTTGTTTCATTTTTCTGTTCTTTAAGGGTACTGCCAATGCCAATAAATTATTTCTTTCTGAGGGAACTTCATTCATTTTGAAATTTCCATATGTTATGCTTATTCTTTCATATTGTAAAAAAAGCGCAATTTCTATGTAAGTTGTGTGCAAATTTAGTCTCTTTTAATTTTTTTTCTTTCTTCTAGAAGAAAAATACTAATGCCACAAATTCACTCTTCCTTAGAAACCTTCATTTCTTGTTATTTTATTTTATTTTGTGTTTCGTTTTCTTTCTTCTCTATAGATAATACTAATGCTATTAAATTCACTCCTTCTTAGGAAATTTCATTTTTTTGAAGTTCCACTATTTTATACTTATTCTTGCATATTATAAAAAGTGCAATTTGTGTGTAAATTATAACATTTTTTATCTTTTTTCGTATGAAAGGGTAATACCAATGCCACAAATTCATTATTTCTTAGAAAAATTTCATTATTATGTTTTTTGTTTTTGTTGGTATTTTCTTTTTCTTTTTTGTAAGGGTAATACCAATACCACTAAATCATTTCCTTCTTAAGGAACTTCATTATTTAAAAATTCCACTATGTTCGGCTTATTCCTGCATTTTTTAAAAAAGCACAATTTCTATGTAAGTTGTGTGCAAAATTTTTTCTTTTTTGTTTTTTCTTTCTTCTAGAAGGGAAATACTAATGCCACAATTCTTCCTTAGAAAACATTTTTTATTTTCTATTTATGTTTGTGTATCGATTTCTTTGTTTTTAAGGGTAATACCAATGACACTAAATTCCATTGTTGTATGTCTGCATAAAATATGATATTATAAGAATAATTAGGAAATACTTTGCTATCAAACAGAGCCTTAGTTATATATGATTTGGAATTTGTGTGCATGCATTATTAGCTAATATTCCCCCATCGTAAAATAAGTGTCTCAATTTTATGCTAACTCTAGTATAAAGTTGTATTAATTTTAAGATACTTATTTTGAGACCGAGGGAGTAATAGGTACATAGCTTAGACAAGAACTCACAAGTATTAGAAGGCTAATACCAACCCGTACACATTTGAAAAGGCTATCTTTAACCTTCCAGCGTCCACACGTATGCATAGAAAGACACTGGGCAATGGCGATAATGTAATACTCCCTTCGTTCCATAATATAAGAGCATTTTTTCGGGACAGATAGAGTAATAAAGTAACTAAACACCGGTGACTGTGATTACAAACATAACACGTGATGAACCATACCAAACAGGATGGCACGTACGTGCATGCGAGCAGATAAACCCAATGTGTGTGTGGATCAAGGCCCTGCGTCAAACGTTGTACGCACGTATTGTCAGCTGAGAGCAAATCAACTTAAACAGGTTAAGAAAAAAAAAAGCAAATCGACTTACACACTGACCCAAGTTTTGTTTTCAGCCAACTTACCAATAGCCGGTCCCCAAAATATACCCTCTCCACACAATTCCAGGACCCAAGTCACATGAGGAACATCTAGATTGAAAGCTTGCTTAGATAATTACAAGACGACGGAGATAGACCTCCTGTAGCACGGGCGGCCGGCCTTCTTTGCGGGCCTGCTCTCCTCCTTCCAGAGCTGGCAGAGGTCCTTGGAGATGCGCACGGCATCGGCGGAGGCGCCGGAGAGGCCGCGGCGTGCGAAGCCGACGGAGTAGAGGCCAAACTGGCCCTTCCAGCCGTTGGGGAACTCCGTCTTTGGGTAGCCGTCCTTGCCGAAGAAGTCCGTTGCCCGGAGCCACTGTGGCACATTGCTCCTGTAGCCGGTGGCGAGGATGACAGCGTCGACATGGACGATGGTGCCATCGGAGAGCACGGCGTCGGAGTTCGTGAAGCGGGTGATGCCGGGGACGACGGTGATTTGGCCGCTCCTGATCCTGGCGAGCGCGCCGGTGTCGAGCACCGGGGCGCGGCCTTGCGTGTGCTTGAGCGTGAGCGGGCCGACAGCCGGGCGGTGGATGCCGAGCTTGTCGAGGTCGCCGAGGACGAGCCAGGCGAGGAAGATCATGATCTTGTCCACCAACCAGAGCGGGAGCCACGCCACGAGCAGCATGGCCAGCTCGAAAGTGGACTTGCCGAGCACCTCGCGCGGAATGACGTGCATGGCGTCGCGCACCACCATGAAAGGGTGGGCGCCGTGGTCGCAGAGGTCGAGGGAGACCTCCATGCCGGAGTTCCCGCAGCCGACGACGAGCACGCGCTTCCCGTTGTATGGCTCGCCGGACTTGTAGTGGCTGACGTGGGTGACCTCGCCGCAGAAGCCGCCGAGGCCCGGGATGTCCGGGACGACGTTGACGGCGTTCTCGCCGGTGGCGACCACGAGCCAGCGGCCAATGTACTCCATCTGGGCACCGCCCGCGCTGGTGGCTTGCGCGTGCCAGAGTCCGGAGGTGTTGTCGTAGTGGGCGGAGAGCACGGTGGTGTTGAACTCGGGCTTAATGTCGAACCTGGCGGCGTAGCTCTCGAGGTAGTCGATGAACTGGCGGCGGGTGGGGTACTCCGGGTAGCTCTCCGGGAACGGCATGCGGGGGAGCTCGCAGAAGTGCTTGGGGATGTGGAGCTTGACGCGGTCGTAGGTGCGCTTCTGCCAGAGCGAGGCGATGCAGTCCTCGCGCTCCAGCATGAGGAATGGCATGCCCTCCTCGCCGAGGCTGGCCGCCACGGCGAGCCCGGAGGGACCGGCGCCGACGATGATTGGGCCGTCCACCGACACACGACGAGGGGGGCTGAGGCTTTGCATGCGAAGCACCATGGCTGCTTCCTCGCTTCCTGGCCGGGTTGCCAAGTGATCACTAGAGTGAGCTTAATTTGCTGGGCTTGCTCAAGCAGCTTGCTGAATGCTGATGAACAAGTACTATGGCTTTTAAATATAGGAGGAGAAGGCTGAGTGGAAGTTTGGTGGAGAGATGCGATTCGTTACGGCGGCACCTCAAATTTAAAATGTTCCCAAAAGCACAAATCTTAATGCATAAAGCCCATGCAAAGCTGCGGCTAATTTACTAATAGTAAAGTGGATCTGATAATTAGCGGCTAAGGCTTCTGTCTAACTTCATTCCAATTCAATGTGTGAAGAAAGCTTAAGGATCTAAACGATCTTACAAAAGTTTACACAGGGAGTATTAGAGAAAAAGGACTAGGCGCCTAATGCATGATAATGGCTTTTTCCAGTTTCTAACAGTGTGTCAAACCTCCTTGTGCCTACACTGAAATTCCACTTGCTCTTACTTTTCTTATTATATAAAAATTGAGCTTTCTGGCTTTCTGCGCAACCATGCATCAATCAAAATACAAAAAGTGGAACAGAAAGAGAGATATCGCTGTAGACGCGTCATTGATTGGGTCCAATCTTTCATCGATGCAACATCAATCTTAAAAGAATTATTGATTAAAACTTTCGGTTATGCAAATGGTGCGAGCAACATAAAGATAGGGCAAAGACAACTGACAAGATGCTAGCGCCCAGATAAGCAAAACACGCAAAACACCGACGGTTCTACCTGGCAAGAAAAGAATGCTACTTATTTTAAGTAGTAGATATTCAAGACCGGCTAAAAAAATAAATGAGTTCCCTAGGATGTCGTATATAGCTCGACTGAAAAATGATTTGATCTTAATTGAGCCAACACTAACTTGCTCGGTTTTTAGCCCGATAGCTCAAAATAATATAATCATGTATAATGACTATTATTAATTAAGATAAAATAATAATAATTTGTTACTTTATATATTATGTATAGGAGTTATCTCCTAAGAGCAAAGCATCAACATCATACGTGATGAGTCCCTAAGCTACATAATACTTGAACCATACCATTTCCGGTGAAAGCACATATATGCACCTTCGTTTTCTTTCCTCCACATTGAAGAAACTAATATTTATCGTCATTCTGATTGGAATAATATTGGATAGGGTTTTCTTATGATGATATTGTGGTCTAATGTAAGGATCCCCAAATTAATAAAAACCTACTTAGAATTAATTCCGCATAATTGTCTTGGCATGCCATCATATTTGCACTAAAAATCTGCTTGGAAATAAAAAAAATGTGCATTTACATTATTACTGTATAAGACAATTAGAGCTTACACATAGCAATCCTATTTTGTGTGTATCCAATTGTCTTGAACATTTATGGTGATTAATTATAGTGGTAATACACACCCTTGGATATTTCCATAATTTTCTTATAATTATTTGGACTCCATTTGGATTTAAAATGGTTTTAAATACCATTTATAAATTAATGGATGAAGCAAAGTTCTTCCAAAAATTACGGAACTTATTTTACTGATTCCATTTCTCATGTTTCACCTCTCTGAATTTATATAGAATATTTCTATGACTATTTAATTCCTTCAGAAATTATGAGTTTAGGGATATGATTAATCTACAAATTAAAATGACATTTTTTATGTACTTCCAGAATTAGTACCCTTATAGTTCAAAGTACAGAGGCTTACACTTCTAAGCGTGTCTACTTCCAAAATAAATATAGTTTTATTTGAAAGTACATGTGCCGCACTTTTAAAATACATATGTACTCTACTCAATAAATAAATAAATATGTACTATACATCTAAAACTAATATGCTTGTACTTAGAGGTACTTGTACTTGTACATGACCACAGTTTTTTTTTTAAGAATATACATGTGTACTTTTCATGAAGTTGGAGTCGCCCGTTCGGAGGTATCCAGTGATGAAGATGACCCTTGTGACTCCTCCATTGATGTCTTTCTTCTTTGCAGCTCCGTGTTCCATGTCGGTAGCTAGGTTGGCTAGTGGTGCCCATACTATGGATTGGATTGTATTGATTTTAGCCTGGTTTTCCGCCGACCGATTCCATTAAAAAGGGTAGACTTCCCCTCCAAACAATTCGTGCTAAAATTGATAATTGCTGCTATCCAATTCTGACTATCTATGGAGTATTATGTGTAAAAATTTGGATATTTGTAGACGAAGAATAAGTAATCTTGTCTTCGGATTCTGTCCATTGATAGCATAAAAAATGACAAGAGACTTTTTTCCTGAAATCCCTGCAAAAGACGAAATTATACCTCTTTCTATAAGATTTAATGAAAATTGATAAATCATTTAATATAATTGCTATGCTTGGTGTGTGACTCCTTATTTTTTTTCCTTTTTTTTAATTAACCGGGCAATTCTAACTTCTTCTTAATCAATGAAAATGGTAACTCTTTTGCCTCGTTTAAAAAAACAGAAAAAAAATACCTATTCCGCTCTAAGGCAAAAACACACAAAAGCATCTCTAGAAGATTCCGGATAATCCCCCCTCCCCCCCCGGGCCTGTAAAAGTCCGACTGATATGTGGTTTTAGGCCATTTTTATTCCTGGACAGAAAGCTTGGCCCTAATAAAATATTTAGGTGCACACTAAATCTGTTCGCCCCACTGCTATATCAACATGGGTTCTACTTCATTCGTCTTGTATTAGTTGATGACAAACGGATGTATGTAGACATATTTAAGTGCTAGATACATTCGTTTGAGCGTCAGCTAATATGAAGCAGGGGAAATAGTTTCAAAGATCTCAACGCGAGAAACCCAACAGTGAAACCGGTTCGCGATTTGGACGCATGGTTCAGAAGATAAAACAACTAAAAAACGAATCTACGAAGAAAGCACAAAACACCCATGTTTCGACAAGTGTTGCACATACAATGCGCCACTTGTCACTACCAGAGAAGGTGGGAGTGACCTTTTCAAGGGTAACCGCTTAACTAGTGATATCACTATTTCACGCCTGATGCGACAAAAGTCGCTCAAACACGCTCCTTTTTTCCTTCTTTTCTATATATTTTTTCCGTTTTATCTTTTTTGTATCTTGAAAAAAAAAATTGATTTCAAAATATGTTCACGAATTCCAAAGAATGTTCATAATTGTTTATAAAATTAATATTCCTCAACTTCAAGAAATATTTCCAAATTTAAGAAATGTTCCAATTTTTGAAAAATGTTCATGAATAAACAAAGGTTCATATTTAAAAACAATTATGGATTAAAAACATATCTACAAGCATAAAAAATTATTCCCAAATTCAAGAAAATGTTCATGATCGCCAATTTCATAAATTGTTCCTGAGTTTAAAAAATTATTCTCAAAACTATTAAAATTCATGAATTCAAAAACGTTCCTGAGTTTTAAGAACTATTTCCAATTTTAATTTCTTTCCCAATTTTGAAATTAAAAAAATAAAAAAATCATATATATAAAAGAGAAAAGGAAAAAACAAAAGAAATCACAAAAAAAGAATAAGAAAAGAAAACTCAAAAACCGAAAGGAAAAAAATACACACAAAAGGGAAGAAAACACCGGTTCCAAAACCGGTGAGAAATAAAAAAAGCCTAGAAAATCTTACTGCACCAACCCAATATCAATGCTAGCATTGAAGCGTGGTGAGTGATTGCCCGCTACCTGCCAACCTACGCGGCAAATTGGATCCCCGTCCCCGAGGTGGAGACTGAGCAACGCGTACCCCCCGCGTGCAGGTCGAACAGAGACGAAAGTAGGTCATAGCAATGTTGGGGATATCGCTTATTGGGAACTTATCGGTCGACCTACGATAAGGGGTAAATCGGCCGATTTAATGCCATATCGGTTGATTTATCGGCCGATTTATCTTATCGTTCAGACCACGATAAGAGATAAATCGGCCGATTTATCGGAATATCGGAAGATATCTTGAACAGTGGGTCATAGTGATTCGGGAGTTCCTGTGGAAGGGCCCTCGCTCAATGGATAAAAGGCACGCCGGGGATAACATGTTGATGACCCCCAAGAGCTCTTATCGACACAGACAGTGGGTCGGCCCAATGCGGGGGCACATGCGCCTGTTTTTTCTCTTTGTTTATTTTGTTCTTTTGCTTATAACTAAAATGATTGGGACTTCAAGAAAACTTCAAATTAAAAAAAAAATTCCGTAATTTTGGGAAAAACTCTTAGATTTAAAAAATGATAATGAATTTGAAAATTGTTCTTGAATTTTAAAGAAATTCGAAATTCAGAAAATGTACACAGTTTTGAGAAATTGCTTACATATAAAAAACATGATCATGAATTTGAAAATATTCCTGGATTTTACATAAATTCGGAAAATCAAAAAATGTCCCCAAAATTTAAAAATATTCATGAATTTCAAATTATTATTGAATTTTAATAAAAATTCTAAAATTATAGATTTTTTACAGATTTGAAAAAGGTTCCTGCATTTCAAAAAATATTGAGGAAAACAACAAATAAAAAAAATGAAAGAACAAGAAAAAAGGAAAATAAACAAAAAACATAGGAAAAACAAAAAAAACAACGAAGCAAAAATATATATGAAAAATCTAATGAAAATGAGCACAAAGAAACATAGAAAAATGAAAAATGGGTTTAGGATGGTTATAGAACCTTCCTGCAACCTGTGGAAAATGGCTTCTAAGAAACCTAAATAGGCCTGGTAAAAAGTACCTACATCAGCGACCAAGGTGCGTGTTTGATCGCTATTCCCGGACCTACGTGGGGAATAGGATATGTCGTTGTCCTTGGAGAGGCCCGCCATGCTCTCATTTTGAGGATGTTCTGCGGTGATGTCGAACTTCCCGCTCTGAAGCAAATGTTACATGGCCCGAAGAAAATGTTACTTCCGCTCTGGTGTTCTTTGTTGGAAGAGCTCTCGCGAATGACAAGATACGAACAAGTGACCTATACTAAATAGGAAGGCAGGTAGCCAGTGTTCCGTTGGCTCAG